CTGGGACTTGCAGGGCCCTCGGGCAAGAAGGTTGAGATGAGCGAGGAGAACAAGGCATGGGTGGAAAGCGTGAAAGAGAAGGTTAGAATTGCAAGCGGCGAACGAAAGATCTCGTCAAGCAGTCAGTTTGGTGAGCTGGGTAAAGTAGGCGGCACGAAGCGATTATTCAAAAGAACCGAAGACCGTCGACAGTCAAGAGGAAGCCTTCGATAACATTGGCATTATCACAACCGACACCACACAACAACAACTACAACAACAACCAACCAATCACTTACTCACTTATTCTTTAACTTATACCCTCATTATACCATGGAAGAATCCGGAGATACGCCCCAACGGCATCGAGATACCTCGCTTTGTGGAGTTTAGGAGAACAAAGGCAGAACGGCATACAAAGGCATAGCATATTCATTTTGTTGTTTTCAACGGCACGGTCTTTTCATCGGGAGGCGAACTGCGGAGCAGTGTAGACAGTCAATACCCATATTTCCTTTTTTTGTCCTCATTACTCTCTTTTGAAGTTCTTTTTCAATGGGATGCGGCAGGGGTGACATGATTTAGCACGATGGACCTTGGTTAGACATTAGATTGGGAGATCGACTATGATCATACACGCAGCGCAGATATTGTCATTTATTCAAACAAAAGAAAAAATGAATTCATATTCCATTCCGTAGCTGACCATCATGGTGAGGACATACATGGTGTCGTGTCATGCCGTCTCTGAAACCTATCCCTAGCCAGATCCTTTCAAACCAGACCAACAAATGTTCCCATTTACCCAGCCCTCCTTTTATGCGTTTTCCCTTTCCCTCTCATGTTTCATGCCATCCATCATTCATGCCATTGCTATCTGTTGCGTCTAATCATCGTCATCGTTAGCTCTCCGAGCGAGACGACGCTTGCCCTTTCCACCCTTAGGGTTTCCCTTGAAGTGCTTCTTGCTTGAGGCCATCTGGACCTCCTTGGGATCGAGGCCGTTTTCCAGAGCGACCACGGCGCGAGCCTTGCGGCCTGAGAGGTGCTTTCCGGCGAGGGCATCATCCTTGCCCTGCTCCGAGTACTGGTAGTTGAAGGGCTTAGTGACGTGGCCCTGGGACCCCGAGGGGCCGAAGAAACCCTTGTCGAGTTGCTTGGACTTGGGGCCGGCGGGGACGGGCATGTCGGCGGTGGAGGCGACGTCGATAGAGTCATCGTCCATGGGGATGAAGTGAGAGCTGTTGGATGACTCGGCGACGGAGAGGTGGTCCATGGCGGCGGCGAGGGCAGCACGACGCTTCTCAGGGAGGTGCTGCTCATCGTAGAGCTCACGGTTGAAGTCGGCCGCGTCCTCGATTCCTGGGGGCGGCGAGACGAAGAGCAGCTTGCCGTTGACGTAGTCCTTGAGGATGTATCGGGCTGCACGGGACTCATCGGGCTGTCCGAGACCCTGGGTCTGGAAACCACGGGCTCGGGCATAGGCACGGAGGAGCTCAGCGGCGGTGGGGATACCAGTACCCCCCTCCTCGATAGGGCGAGTGCGGATTGTGATACCGTAGATGGCCTCGAGGAAGGGCTGGGGCACACGCAGTGTGACGAGGCCGACGGGGCCCAGGAACTCGCGGAGCTGATCAATAGGGAGGATGCCGTTGCAGACGAGGTCTGCCTTTGTGGTGGCAAAGTTGGGGAAGACGAGACCGGGGCAATCGCAGAGGATGACCCGGTCGCTCAGGTGAATGGTCTGGAAGTGCTTGGTCTTTCCGGGGGTGGAAGAGACCGAGACCTTCTTTGCGCCGATGAGGGCGTTGATGGTGGATGATTTACCGACGTTGGGATAACCGACGAGACCGACTTGGAGTTTGCGATCTGTGCCTGTTAAAGAGTGAGTTGAGGGTCTTGTGAAGTTGATGGTGTTCTGCTTACCTTCTTCTGTTGGTGCGTGTCTGAGGAAAATGTCTTCCAACTCTTCCACGGTAAGAATCTGGGTATCAACCTCCCCCTCTGTCCCTGTCTCAACCTTTGCCACGGACTCTTCCGTCAGAGGAGCGCCCTCTTGTTGCTTGTCCTCTCCCTGCTCCTCCTCAGTTGCAGGCTCCTTCTCCGCTGTCTTGGAGGATGAAGGACCGGCCTCCTCCTCTGAGTCGCTAAAGTCCCTCGCCTCGTTCAACTCATTGGCCAGTTGCGCCGAGAAGAATCGGTATGAGATGCCTGCAGCTTTCAGGTGCTTTGCCCATGCTGTCCTTTGCTTGAGCGTCATCATATCAGCCTTGTTGATGAGGAGCAGGTTCTCCTTCTTGGGGTCAACAGCCTTGACATAGTTCTCAAGATCCTCGGATCGGAAGAGCAGAGGATTCCTGGCATCGACAATCTGGACAATCAAATCTGATCGCTCGATAACTCGCCACAGCTGTCGCCAAACCTCCAGATTTCGCTCAAAGGGTGTCATGAGAAGATCGTTGTTCTCCTGCAACTCGGCCAGACCACGTCTCCAGTTAAGGAAACCCTCTCGCTCTCTAACGTCCAACTCCTCGGGTGTAGTTGTGCTATCCCACTTGGGTCTTCGAGGCACTGTAAGACGACCCCTGTGCTGCTTGTGCTTTCCAAGAACGGCCCTCTCCTCGTTGGCAGAGAGAAGGTAAGGGTTCCTTTGATCGGTGTGAATAATCTTGACGTTGTTGGTCTTTTCAGCAGTAAAGTCGGTGCCGGCCAGCTCGGCAGTAGCCAGGAACTCGTCGAGAGCACCCTGCTCAGTGACGGATCGCATCTTGACCCAGGCAGCATCCTGCTTCTCGTTGACGAGGTACTGCTCTCCGGTGGCATGGTTTGTCCTGGTGATGGCAGAGGTTCTCTTCCTGTCGGTGCCTTTGCCCTTGCCGAAGCGATCATTCATCAGGGCATTTCCCAAACCCACCGAGGTTTTGGACTTTGCCAGAACCATGATGGCGGCGTTGTCTGGTTCAAATCCGGGATATCTTTTGGTGTCTTATGTACGAGGAATCGATGTTCCAAGGCGCAATATACCTATCAAGGTGTATGTCGCTGTGTAGAGTTGTTGAATGACTTGAAATGTGAGGGCATGAAGTGAACTGGATGGTTGTGCCCCGCTGAATAATGACTGTCCATGGAGGGGCAAATTTTCAGGGTGTCCGTGCAAGAGTCATATCAGCACTGTATTCTACACGTACATCAGCGCATAAAACACTGTGCTAACGAAAAGATAACTGTGTATTACCGATAAGGATTTTTTCGTCACCCCGCTAGAATTTCTGCACCCGGATGAGTGTGATGGCGGCCTAACATCGAATCACTGCCGTCCATTCTTTCTCTCCCTCCAATACCCGCCTCACACCCAAAATCTTGTCGCTCCAAGTCGTCAAGATGCCTCGAAAGTGGATGTAAGTCTAGACATCAGAGAGAATTTTTGACATTTCAGTTATTGACCAAATGCTCCAGTGACAAGAAGTCGGCGCAGCACTTCACCCTCGTCCACCGGCCGCAAAATGACCCGCTCATCCACGACGAAAATGCGCCTTCTATGGTGCTTAACCCTACTCAGACCAAGAAGGGTTCCTCAAAGTCGAAAGATCTAGACGATTTGGCCTCTGAGTTGGGCTACGAAGCCGAGAATATCCGCGCAAACGAAGGCGAGGCTGCCAGCTACGGCGTCTACTACGATGATACCGAGTATGATTACATGCAGCATCTGCGCGATCTCAACACTGGAGGAGGAGAGGTTGTCTTTGTCGAGTCAACTGCGACGGCCAACAAGGGCAAGGGAAAGCAGAAGCAGTCGCTTGAGGATGCGCTGAAGAAGCTGGACATTGAGCAAGAGGCTGGCGACATTCTCGATGAGGATATTCTGCCTTCAAAGAACCTCACTAGGGTCACATATGAGGCCCAGCAAGATATCCCAGATTCCATCAAGGGCTTCCAGCCGGATATGGACCCACGGCTACGAGAGGTTCTCGAGGCTCTAGACGACGATGCTTATGTGGATGAAGAGGATGATGACCTTTTCAAGCAACTTGCCAAGGATGGACGAGAACTAGACGACTACGAGTTTGATGATACACAGTTTGATGAGGACGATGGTTGGGAGTCAGATGCCACAGCAAAGCCCAACAAGGAGTACAAGAACGATGAGGTGCCCCAACTTGTCAAGGCGCCAGCAGAGCACCCGGAAGAGGGCCCTTCACAGGACTGGCTTGAGGATTTCAAGCAGTTCAAGAAGGAGCAGAAGAGCGGTCGTGCACCAGCCGCGCCGTCTGAGCTGCAGTCCAACTGGACCACTACAACAAACGGTGGCCGACGCAAGAAGAGAAAGGGTGCGCTGACCGATGCGTCAAGCTACTCCATGACATCTTCGTCGCTTGTGCGAACTGAGCAGATGACATTGCTTGATGCCAGGTTCGACAAGATTGAGGAGCGTTACAACGAGGACCTTGACGACGACATGCAGTCCATGTCGGCCGTGTCTACCATGTCTACCGTCCAGGGCCCAATCCGCGGCGACTTTGATAACATCATGGACGACTTCCTTGGAAACTTCACCAAGCCAGGAAAGAGGACGTCAAAGAAGACCAAGGCCCAGACAGGGCTTGAGCAGCTGGAGGAGATTCGAAAGGGGCTGGGTCCTGCTCGGATTCGAGGTCGGATAAGGTGATCTAAGATTAGGGACATTTCGGGCTGAGAATACCACAAAAGAACAGGGCTAGGGAAAAGGAGTCATTTGGTAGTAATGAACATGAATGAACGTTTCTTTCTTTAAATCGATAAAGTCTTGAATGTCTTTGTTCCATGCTGTTCCTAAATTGGTAGCGGGTGGCTGGTTCATCACTGTCACGTGCAGGGGTGGATCCCTGAGCTTCCCAGAATAGGAATTAGCTGCCATCCAATCCATCCAAAGAGGCTCAACTTCATTCAGCATCAACATCCGACAATCGCGACTCTTTGTTCCTCGATTTCTACTCCGCACTTTGCGCGCTGAAAATCCTCCCCATGTTCAAACGACTTGCTGGTTGAGTGCGACGACCGTTGCATCATCAACACAAGCACAGATGACTTCCATCTTTGGCCAACCGACGCGGAGCCAGCCTCCAGCGTTCAATCCTTTCGCGACAAACTCGGGGGCCGGAGACAGTTCATTTGGTATTGATGATGCAGGCGACTCGAACCGGTCCAAGCGAAACAAGCGACCCTTGCGACCTGCCGACAAGAGCGACAACGAAGGCAAGCGAAAGTCGAACAAAGACGCCAACATGAGCGACAGCGGGAAGCAGAAGAAGTGGAAGGCGGAGGAGAGGAAGAGGAAGAACGGCGACGTAAAGAAGAGCTTTGAAAGCGTTAAAGCCCTCAAGAAGGCGCCCAAGGACGCGCAGACCAACGGCTTCAATCCTTTCACGTCGACGCGTGATAACGAATCGCGACCAACCTCATCCTCGAGCACCGAATCGCAAACTGACGGAATCCCGAAAGCGTACCACTCGAACGATCCGCAAGCCAGAAAGGTTTACGAACAGCTTCGAAAAGACAACATCTTTCCTCCGCCATGGCCGTCGCAGCCCGGAAACCCCAAGAACAAGGGCGAGGTCGGCAAGTTTCGCGAAAAGTACGAAGCCTACCGCAGCAAGGCGCGCGCGTCGTTGACAAGGGCTGGCCTGATCGATGATCCCGACAAGCGAAAGACTCTTCAAGATGCCATTGACTTCAAGGGTATTTGCGAGGAGATGTGCCCCGAATACGAAAAGATCCAGCGCATCAACGAAATGGACGTCCATCAACCTGAAAAGAACCCCAAGACGACCTTTCCCAACACCCGTCGCATGGTCAAGAAGCTCGCACGCTCAGCCGCTGGTCAGGAAGCCCCTCTACCTATGGACGTGCGATCTGTGCCAGCTCTCCGGAGGACGTTCGACTACCTCATTGACGAGTTACTACGAAATGACGACAACCTACCATCCTTGCACGGCTTTCTCTGGGATCGCACACGAGCAATTCGCCGAGACTTTACCTTTTTCTCATCGCTCAATCCTGAAGAGATGAAAACACAGGTTTACGTACTCGAGAACATTACGCGATTCCATGTCACAGCACTACACCTCCTCTCCCAGGAGGGCAATGCACCAGAAGACTTTGTCGAGCAGCAAGAAATCGAGCAACTTGCAAAGGCTCTTCTTTCCCTCCGCGACGCATATGACGATTGTAACGATCAGGGCATCCGGTGCGAGAACGAACCCGAGTTCCGAGCTTACTATCTGATCTTCCATGCCCTCGATTCGAACATTATTGAGACGCTACAACGGCAATGGAAACCGAACCTGTGGAAAGACTCTGACGCGGTTCGCACAGCAGCTTCGCTCGTCGAGGCTCTTCAAAATACCCAAGACTTCCATGGGCCGATCAAGGACGCACCTTCAATGGCCGCCTCTGCAGCATACCATTCGTATTTCCGGATAGTCGAAGACCCAAAGGTTTCATACACTATGGCTTGTTTCGCCGAGATTCATTTTGCCCCTCTTCGTCGCTCCATCTTGACGACAATCAAGAGATCGCTAGCCCGGCCTAGAGAGACAGCCAAGGATGTCACAGCCGCCGTCCTCAACAAGTTCCTCCGGTTTGACTCTATAGACGAAGCAATTGAATTTGCAGAGGATCATGATTTCGAGTTTGGGAAATGTGAAGACGACCCGTCGGATATCACTCGCTGGTATCTCATACTAGACAACCGCAAACGTCTCCCTTTTCTCCGTTATCAACACCAGTTCTCTGAGAGTTTGGTAGAGAAGAAGCGCGGCTCCAGATCTCTTCCAGACCTTATCCATCAGACAATATACGAAGACCCCAATGCCCCGAAGCCAACGACTAATGGAGATGGCGAGGAGAGTCTCTTTGTCACGGATGAACCGGAGCCAGTGACACAGGCACAGCCTGTTGAATCATCAAAACCCAACAGTACAACAACAAACCCCTTCTCCTCTTTTAAGCCGAATGGAGTTTTGGGTAGCAACAATGCTGTCAACGGCAACTCAGGTAAGATCCCATCGACCCTTTTATATAGTTTGCACCCAAGATTTTGCATTTCATGGCTCTCTCATTGCATGTTGCACATGCCTGTGAGAGCCTCTACTTGACAGGCATTCCGCCGGAGACTCTAAACGCCATAACCCGCGAGACCATCTCGGGGTGACACGGTTGGCTCGAGACGAACCACTGGAAATCTGGCAAAGAAACGCCTACACCACTGGTTCTGACGTTGTATTCGCTTAGGGACTTTACTCAACGGGAACGCTTCAGCCTCTGCCTCCCCCTTTCAGCAGTCAACGCCTCAACAGAACCCCTTTGCTCCGACACCAGCACCGACAGCAGAGCCTGCGAAGCCAGCTGTCAATCCATTTGCATCGGCTACAACTTCGACTGCGCCGTCGCCATTCAGTAACGGTGTAGCAACCACCTCCAACGCGTCGTCAGGGGTTACAACAGGCCCTACAACAATAGCTGCGTTGAACTCATTTACCTCATCTGCCACACCATCGACTGCTGCTGGTCCCGCCAAGAGCAACCCATTTGGCTGGCCACCTACGTCTGAATCCCAGACATCTAAAGCTCCTAGCTTTCCTTCTTTCACGCCCCAACCTGCTGTACCATCAAATGACGCTCCAACACCCCCGAGCAAGGTGGATAAGCCTGCGGGCCTGTTACCTCCAGCTCCAGCAAGTCCTGCAGTTGAACCCACAAAGACGACCAACAACAACGCAGTTCCTCCATTCTCTGCGCCAACAGTTGACGCCTTCCAGCCTCTGAAACCTACTCCACCTCCGTTGGGCAGCGTGGCTAAACCGATCAGTGGACTTGGCATTGGAACACAACTCCCCTCAACCGACAAGCAGGACAAGCCAGCACCAAGTGCTCTCAGCTCTAGTCCGGCTGTTACATCAACGCCTCAACTGTCATTTCCCGCCTTTTCGACCCCATCCTATCAGCCTTCACCACTTGGCATCACTCCTCAGCCTGCTACTACTTCACCTCCCAAACCAACAATCCAGACACCACAACCCCCGACTCTTCCACCAGCTCCTCTAGTACCGCCGGCTCCACCACAACCGCCTCGTGATCTCATTGGAGACTTCACGAAGTGGTACGTGCTTGGCGATGAAGGCATGCTTGGTGACTTCCAAGCCTTTATGCTGGACAACATCCTGCAGGGCGTATACCGGAAGTTTGTTAAGGACAAAGAAAGGAAACGACAAAAGGAAGAAGAAGAAGAAGCGCTTGCCAAGGCAACCGAGTTCCGAAGATACACCCTTTCAGTCAGATACTTCTACCGCTGGAGGGACACGGCACGCGAGCTACGACTTAGCCAACTTCGCCGCAGTGGCCGAGAGCAAATGAGAGTGTACTACGAGGCACAGCGAGCAGAACAACTCAAGGCTCAAAAGGCTGAAGCTCGTCGAGCAGCACGAGAAAAGGCTGAACTTGCAGAGCTGAACCGGCACCGCCCGGAAGAGCTGATGGATCTTCTCAAGCACAAGAAGCCAGGCAAACGTCGACAGTCGGAGGAGGATGCTCTCCTCGCTAGCGGTGTCTTGTCAGGGGTTGGCAACGAGCGAGAGGCCATCGCGCAGATTGTAAATGGACCGCCATTTGTGAACGGCACAGTGTCGAGCCAACAGTCGAAGCTGTCCAGGGCGTCTACCACTAGGGGCGGATCCAAGACGCAAGCTCTACGAGAGCAGCTCCTTGGTGATAGGTCCTCCACCTTCCGACGCTCGCTACCTCCTTCGATGTCAGGGAACGGATCAAGCCCTGAGCCAAGCAACCGCGTCAGCAAGGTATCGGAACGTTGGCGCCTCAAGGCCATGGGCATTGTTCAGATGCCCGACGGCACAGCGATGCCAGAGTCACTAGCAAACGAAATTCAGTACGGCAAGAAGAGGCACTCAGGAACCGGCACTATGGGGCCACCTAGTAGCAGCTTCATCCGTCGAGCCTCAGTGAGCGACCTCGCCCGTTCCGAAGGGGGCCATCGTCTATCCAGCTCACAAGGAGCTATCGACACGACCGAATTTGACGGCACAGCCGCTAATAACAAACGGAAGCGTACCGCAGAGGACGATGAAGACACGCCCCAACAAGGGACTTCCAACACGCACAAACGCGTCATGAGCGACGCGCAGAAGCTGATCAGCGAACTTCGCGCTATGAGGGCGGAGATGGAAGAAGGGGCTTCCTGGTTCCACGATCAAAACGAGAGATTACACAGCGAGATGATTAGCCGCGGCTCGACGCCGTGGGATCAAGATTCATGACGTGTCATACTGGGGAAAGAGGAACAAAAGAATGTGTTTGACGACGGCCGATAATGTAGTCCGGCCTTGATAGTGTCGAGCTCGTGGAGATACCCGTGGCATTGGATGGGAGAGGGAATCATCAAGGTTAAACATTGTGGATTTTGGTTTCTGGCATCTGTATTCTTGACTAGCGACTCATTTGCAGCACGCATTGTCTTGTTTTATTTATTAAACAGGGGATGAATGAAGGGATGGGCATGATTACACAGGTTTTGGATGGGGGTCTCACGGCTGGGGAAAATGGTCAAGCAAATATACACAACTGGCGTTGAAGCCAGACCACACTTTTGAGTTCATCGACTTGCACTTGTGATTGTTTTTGGGTATTATCCATTATCTTATTCTTACATATCCAACTAGAGCATAGTTGCTGCCTATGTATGCTCGAGATGTCACCACTAACAACGCCAACGCTTAAACGAGGGGAACAACGACATGGCAGCCATGAAACAAAGATCCGCCTGATGGACACCTAGCTAAGAAATCAAAGTAGCCTAGTAAACATGCCTGAGCACCGAAACACCGTTGACTTGTACTGATCATTTAGATGCCTTCTTAGGTGGCGGGTCAAACACAAGCTGGATGTTGCGCGTCTCGACAGGGCTCTGTGTAGTTGAGGAGCGTTGCTTCTTGCGAAAACTCCTTCCTGAGCCGCCGGCACGCTGCTGCTGCCAGGGGTTGTTACTGTCCTGGTTCAAGCGTGGGGTGGTGATTGTAAAGCCGGGGCTGTAGAGGGGAGAGTCCACGTTGGGTGATGTGACAGGGTGACGAGACTGGCCGGCCATCAGCGGCGCAGCAGAGTTGCTCGAGATGGCTGATATCGGCGAGACATCGTCGGCTGGGCTCTGGTGAACGGGTGTATGGATAGGAGGGGGTTGAGAGAGGGGAGGGACAAAGGTGTCCAGCTTGTGGCCACCGCGCAAGCTGGTCATGGCATTGCGGGGGTTCCACAGGGACGATCCAGATGGCGACTTGGCCTCGTCCATGTAAGGCTGACCAACATACTCCTTGTCGATATTGCGGAAGCCTGTCCCACGGGGTGTCAAGCGGGCCTGGCAGTGGAATGACATGGAGGATCGGCGGTTAAGGACAGAGCGCTTCTGGCGCTTACGGCGCTGCACGAATACGCAACCAGCAATGGCGAGCAGGAAGACAAAGCTACCAATGGCGATGGCAGCGATGGAGGTGTTGGGGAGCGAGAGGTTATCTCCTGGGGCGACAGGGGCAGATGGGTCGACCATGTCAATGGTCCTCTCACTGAAGACGGTATCATTAAGGCCGAGCGTGGCACCAGGTTTAGGCCGTTGCTGACATCCAGCTTCAAGAGCAACCAAGACTAAACAAGGGTTAGATCGCAGCATTCAATAGGACACAGGAAGGACCAACAGTTGGAGATGATGGTGTGTGTGCTATCGGCCTTGACACAGGCATGACACTTGGCATATGCATCACCCAGCATTGCCTTGCCATCAGTATCGCAATAGCCGTACTGTTCCCTATCATCGTCGGGCTCGATGATGCCTGCTTTTAGGGCATCCTCAAGAGGACCGCAGGCCTCAGAGGTGATACAGGGGCCTGAGCCGACATCTGTAGCGTTGGGGTAGCCAAAGACGCAGTAGTCGAACGAGTAACGCATGTTGTCTAAAAGTTTGCGAGATTAGATGAAAGGTGTATGGGGAAGTGACATGCAGGCTGACTTACACAAGAACCAATCTAAATCGTTCTCATCCTCACGTTTGAAAGTGCTGTCCTGTAGACAAGCAAGACATCTCTGATACTTTTGGCCCGCGGGCTTGTTCTTGAAGTCGTCATCGTTGCAGACAATGTCATCGCCATTGGTATTGGACGATCTGGGGTCAGAGCGGTCGAGGTCCGCAGAGTCGAGGCAGAAGTGGGCGCAGGGCGAGTTGGGGGCGACCTGCAAAGCCAAAGCCAGAGCTGAGAACAATAGAGGCAAAAGCATCGTGAGAGATGCGGGCTGATGATGACGGGCCATTGTTGCGAGATGAAGCTGGGGGCTGTGCAAGTGTTGGTTGATGAACCTGATAGGGAGGGGCCTCGAGGTCAAAGGATGCGGTCGAGGCCAGGCCGGCTTTTGAACGTCGTGAATGGACGAGAGAAAGACCAGGGACTGAAACAATAGGATCGGTCGAGGTCGAATTTGAGGCCTGAGGAGTGTACCGGCCACTCTTGATCTACAGCATGCTCGTCAAGTATACACTTGTAGATAGATATAGAGACGAGCACAGAGCAACAAACGAACAACGGGAAGCGCAAATAAAGACAAAGCAAACTTGACAAGAAAAAACGAGCGAGATGCCGAATGTATATCATCATCATCACTGGATGAAAGGACCACAGGGTCTCAGCTCAGACAGACCAAGCCACCAATAGCATCAGACGCCAGAAAGTTAGAGGAAACAATAGTCCACAGGATAAATTGTGACTGCTTGCTCTAGCACGGGCAGAGCCGCCATGCCTAGCCGTGTCCATGGGGTTGCAATCACGCCCGTTTGCGACGACGTAGCCAATGAAAGACATCAATGGCTGCTGGTGGAAACGGCAACGGGCGCCTACGTCTGAGAGTGGATGGTGATGATGATGGTGTTGAGGGCGAGTCTGCACCGGGTGCCTGGGGTCCAGGCGGGAAGATGGCCTCCATTGACCAATCACGTGCTGAAGAGCAGGCGCCTCAGTTGTCGCAGAGCGCTTAAGGTTTGCCCTACAGCCAATGGCTCTTCAGCGCCTGGACCCCCTAGCTCCCGTTGCCTGTGCCTGACCGTGCTCTCAGCGCCTGGGCCGTCTTTGCGTCTGGGCGCTGTCGATGCGCCGACCGTTTGGGACTTGATGAGATCACAGGATGCAGGGCCAAGCCCCTTTTTGAACATAGAGTCCTTCTATTCAAACTGAATACAGCCAATGTTACACCAATTCCAAACGCCTTCCCGTGGTATCTTTTTTCCGTTCCTGTCTCATCACATGATCCCATACCCAACTGCATACATGCATCTCTTGCGATCCTCACACCTTGCGTGAAACACCATGAACCCTCCGTCCTCGGAACTCGTGCCGCCTCCGGGACCCCGGAGACCCAACGCCGGCGTCTTGAGGAACGGTGCTGGGCCCCGAATGTACGGTCCGTTAATGTCGTTCTGCGACACGGCATACTTGACATCGTAGGCATCGTCAGTGTACATGTGGCTGCTGAAGAAGAGGAGGTAGCCTCCGCCGGGTAGTCGGACTAGGCTAGGCGCTTCAACGAGGGGGCCGTCTTCTTCGGCGATGCGGTCCATGATTGTTACTGGGTCGCCGATGTGTGTTGTGCCGTCTTTTGCTGATACGCGCTGAAGACGGAGGGGAGTAGGATGACCGATTCCAAGAGCGTTGCCGTCAACCTTGTAGATGATATATCGTCGACCAGTTGACTCATCAAAGAAGCCAGTTGGGTCGATAGCTCCGCCTTCATCTCGAGGACACACGATAGGCTTGGGATCCATCGTATAAGGGCCAGTGCTCTTCTTGGAGCGTGCAGCACCAACACAGTGACCTCCTTCAGGAAGTTCTCCTGAAAAGTACATGATGTACGAGCCATCACTCAGTTGCCGAACATCAGGGGCCCAGTAGTTACGACCACTCGTCCACCCATCAGTAGGAAGAGCATCTTGGTCAAGATGAGTCCACTCGCCAAAGGGGTCATCAGCAGTGGCCACCTGAATATGATGTCCATTCCCACTAGTTGCAAAAGCAACCCAGCGACCATCACCATCCTTAAGAATGGAAGGGTCAGGAAAGTCGACTCCTATTCTAGGCTCGAGTGTTGTAGTGCCGTCTTGTCTTCGTTTTATATGTTGCTCAGGGGGTGATCCGAGAACAGGAGTAGTTGCATAGTGAAGAGAAGGAATCTTTGTAGGGAGACAAGTGACGGGGTTGAAAAGAGAGAGTAAAATAGAAAGGGAGAGTATCGTCCTCCAGGGACTAGTTGTTGCAGCAGTAGACATGTTGGGCATTCTGTGTGAAAGCTCAACGAGGAGAGAGAAGTTTTCCAGCCAGTGGTGTTATAAAGTCGTCAAGGGTTTGAGCCTCAATCCCGGTTCCTGACAATCTCAGATGTCATGGAGGGTTGATCACTGGGGCTCTGGGTGCAACTAAGTGGTGATCAGCAAGTCTCTGACGTTTTTGTTTGTCTTTGTCGTCGTTGACTCTGCTGGGTACACCTAACAAGAGAAGAAGAAAAAGGAATGAAATAAAAGTTGGAAGAAAACTGCTGGTAACTTCTCAACACACCATCACCACACACACATACTCTCTCTTATCTTTATACCTGTCGTCCAGCTCACACACACCTCCCATCCCAATGGTCCCATCATCTCGCCAAGCCAACACCCTCAAACGCTTTCGATATAGCTTCAATGCGTTACCGGTTACCGCTCAGACTCAGCTCGCTTCTCTAATCCCCCAAGTAGCCTAGCTTAAGTTTATGAGGTGTATTTTAAGAGCCCTTCGCTTTCCTGCATTGGTTTAATTACACCAAGGGGACAAGGGCAGTGTAGGCCCGGCGCGTCGGGTGGCTCCAGTCGCGCGTGTCCAAGTAAGCGCTCGACCAGGGATGAGCCAGGGCGAATTCATGCCGTATCATGCCAGGCAGAAGAAGACTCTTTCAGAAAGATACCGCCATGCAGACAGATCCTTGATTGCCTCTTCTAGACCCCTCTAGTCATCATGTGAAACAGGGGCGATGCAACTCTCGTCTGTCCGTGATTCGCCCAATGTTTCCCACATGTTTCCCACGTTTCCGCCCACCTTATCTCTCACCTCTCACCTCTCACCATCTCAGCTTCACACGACCTGCAGCTAACGTCTAGTCTCAGTCTCTCCTGAGCCTCAACAGAGTTCCTCGTATTGTGGAACTTGTGACAACTCAGAGCCCTCCTCCATGGCTCGTAAAAATGTCCGCTCCTGGTGGAACCCTACGCGCCAGTTTCAGCTTCCAATCGATCCATTTATCGTCGTTCCCCAGTATAAATGTCATCATCGCCAACGCATGCATCGCCCAGACCGTCTCGGCGTTTCAAACCCGTGGATCCTTCGGCTTAACATCCATGGCATGGATATCACGGGATAGACTCTAATAGTAGAGTCAGATATGGATGCAGATGCAGAGGAACCAACTCCACCAGATCCTTAGCTACTGAGATATTACATGTTCGCTAACTACTCGCTTCCATCATGCGTGGCAGTGCCTGCGTCCCTAACACTGCCCTCACACAACCACAATCCATCCATCTACAGCAGTACAACATGGGCACACACACACGCTCACACACACACTCACTCACTCACACAATCACTCACACCGTCTGTCTCGGAGCTTTCTGCTTTGATCATCCTTTGTATTGATGGCCTTTCATCTACTCCAACCAGGATTTTCGAACCAAACGCCAAGTCCCCAGAACGACAAAACAGTTCAAACAAGAAACACTCCAGCAGCAAACACGGCAGACAGTATGGTACAGCTTTCAGACCGCCCCATATCAACAGCCCGGACCCTGCTTCTCGGGTATCAAGATCCGGATGAGGGTGAGGGTTCAGCTTCAGGCTCAGGCTCAGGCTCAGGTCCGTCCCCATGTCCAGGACCAGGGTCAGGATCCCTTTAATCGCTGTCATCATCCATCGCCTCGCCCTTGGAAGCCTTCTTAGCAGCCTTGGCGGCCTTCTTCTCCGCCTTTCGTCGTTTCCGCTCAGCCTTCTCCTCTGCCGTCTCACCCTCGTGCTTCTTACGCTTCTTGTCCTTGCTGTCCTCAGCAGCAGGCGACGAGGCAGCGGCCTCAGCCATGGGGGTATCCTCGCTCTCCTTAGCGGGAGTAGCAGGAGCGGCGGCGGCAGCAGCAGCGGAGGCGTCGTTCCCGCTAAAGTCCTTGTACTCAGAAGTCCACTTGGCAGGAGTGGCATCGTTGGGGCGGCCGAACTTGTCGAGCTTGCCGTCGGCCTTGAGCTTCTTCTTCTCAAGGGCAACAGGGCCGAGACCCCATCGGCGGGGGTACAGGTCGCGCTCCATGATGCATCGCTTGACCTTGGCAACGACACCGTGGTCGCAGGTCGACATCTCGACAGTGGACATCTGAGCAATACCCAGAGCAATGGCCTCACCCTTGGTGGTCATGAGGACGACCTCCTCGTGGTGCTCAATGGCAGCCTCTGTACACTTTATTAGTTGACTGACCCAGAAATGATTTCACGTGAACACTAACCGTATCGCAGAAGACCGGGAAGCATCAGCTTAGCACCGTAGCACACAGCGTTGACGGCGCTGTCCTTGACGACCAGACGCTTGTAGGAGGTCAGGAGAGTCTCAAGAGGCGAGATGACCTTGCGCAGGTACGACTCATCGCGGGTGTTATCCATCTGCCACTGAGCATCGAGAACATCGTGGAGGGTGACCAGACCCTTGGTCTCGTCCATGGCACCACTGCGAACACGTCGAAGCTCCTGCATGTGGCCGCCGACACCGAGAAGGAGACCCAGGTGGACGCAGAGGGTTCGGATATAGGTACCGGCCTCGCAGCTGACCCAGAAGACACCCAGGTGTCGGTCATTGTCGAACTCGATGAGCTTGCTCTCGTGGATGGTTCGGATACGGAGCTGACGCTTGACGGCAGAGATCAAGGGGGGACGCTGGAACAGCGCACCGGTGAGAGTCTCGAGAGCGCGAGCGAACTGAGCCTGGCCACCGGGCAGCTTGTCGTGGAGGCGGATGACAGCCACGTACTCCTTTCCGGCACCTTGTTGGGACTTGACGAGACGGGTAGCGCGGTCAACGCAGACAATCAGGCAGCCCGTGACCTTGGGATCGAGAGTACCACTGTGACCAGTCTTTTCACATCTGTTGCGCGACAAGTTAGCGAATGCTTCTAGAACGCGCATTGACGCAGGTGCTCCATCTGGAGAGAAAAGTTTGCGTACCGGAGAATGCGCTTGACCCAAGCGACAACCTCGTGAGAGGAAGGGTTAGAAGGCTTGTCGAGGTTGATGACACCAGAGCTGATGTACTGCTTGAGGTCGCGCTTCAGAGGCGAGCATCCATTGGGGATCGGGGTGAAGTGACCAGTTCGCACGAGGACTGTTGAAGTTTTCAAACATCATGCGTTAGCGTTTTTGACCATCTTGCGAAGAAAAAAAACAGGAAGCAATTGAAGCCCTCAGCGACAGCCAAGATGATGCTGAAGCTGAGAGTCAAGAGGAGACTCACGCTTGTCATAGTTCTTGAGCAGGAGCGGCCACGAGCTCGTGTCAAGAGCAGGCGTGGTGGCCTGGGGCTTGATGGTGTACTCATCCTCCTCCGACCCCTTCTTCACGACCGCGACTTCCTTGGACATGATGATTAGGAGCAAATGACAATCAAAAGATGTTGATTCCCTTTTTGTAGAATCTGTAGATGTACCGGGCCGAGCGCGGCAGGTGCTTCTTTCTTGACAGGAGGGAAAAAACGGAAGGGTGAAGTCGTTGGTCTCCTCGGTGTCTTGCCCGGTGTGGTGGTTGGAAGCTTCCAAATTTTTTTTCCTCTGGTCGCTGGAGAAGGATGATTGTGTGGGGCCGGGCGGAAAAGCGCGACCGGTGTGTGGCGGCAATTGGGAGCTAGTCCGCATTAGGTGACCTTGTGTCCCAGCCACATACATTAGCCATAGATGAGCACGTGCAGAGCGCATTAGCCACGGTCAAGCCACATTTGTGCTGGAAGCTGAAGAGAGAGTTCAACTCATTCAAGCCACCAATCACCGTCACCGTCACCATCTCCATCACTATCATGTTTACTATCAATCTGAGAAGCTTCATCACGAGTTCATGTCATTATATTCTTCAAGTCTGGGCTCTTCATCCCATAAATTCCCACATTGTGAGAAATGCTACATAGTGGTGGTATCCAGATCTTTCATCCCTCATTAACACACATTGGTATCTCCATCGCCAAACGCCAGGCTCATACACACAAAACAAAAACGACGCTTGATCATGTCTACCTGTCGCTACCGTCTTGGTGCGGTGTGCGACCACTTCGCGGATCATCCTCGTCATATGTGTGAGGGTCGTCCACGTTGCTGAGTCTTTCTGAAAAGGACCCCTTCCCTCGGCGGTGTCCCCGGCTAGACTCCCCGTTCTGAGAGTGCTCGCGCTGAGGCAGTCCAGGCTGGGGATGCTCGGTTTGAGGGTACCCAGGTTGGGGGTATCCAGGCTGAGGATATCCAGTTTGGGTATACCCCGGGTGAATGTACTCGTGTTGATAGATTCCCATGCCCACTTGAGGGCTCTCCACTGTGGTCATCTCATACTCCTCCTCTTGCTTGCCCTTGCCCTTTGAGCCAGAGGTGTGCACAGAGGCTTCATCGCCACCCATAGCAACACCAATGTGCGGGCTACTCTGATTCTGCTGATGATACATCCTTTGCTGCTCATACATCTGTTGTTGTTGGTATAGTTGCTGTTGATACAGCTGTTGGTGTTGAAATAATTGCTGCTGCTCGTACAGTTGGTGTTGGTACATTTGTTGCTGGTACAGTTGCTGTTGCTGCTGCTCAGACAGCGGCAAATCTGGGATCGAACCATTGGGGGCCATGACGGGCCAGTGAGCGAGCTTCAGCTCTGTCGCGCTCACGGGGCTGCTGTACTGGGAGGCAAAGGGCGAGCCGTGCTGCTGAAACGGCTTCTCAGATCGAACGCTAATCGGCGACTCGTCCCAGCCTCTCAACGGCTTCTGACTCATGGGGGTGTCGCGGGTGGTGCCAAACATGGGGGTAACGCCCGGCCAAGACTTGCGTGGCTTGTTACTGAGCGTGTTGAGGAAGGCTCTTCTCCGTCTCCGGCCGCGCCAGATGATGGCGAAGCCGAGGATGACAAGGAGCACGGCAAATCCAGCAAAGGCGATTCCGACCTTGGCATCAAGGGTCAAGGGCCCTTGGTTGAACCAGTCAGGGTCAACAGTTTGCATGGGTGTCGGTTCCGTCACGTTGACATTGTCCTTTGAGAAGATGCCGCCTTCGGTAGAGACAAGGGTGCCGGGGGAGGGCTGCTGTTCACATCCAGCTTGGAGGACGGTAATGACTGTGGACGGTTAGCTTTGAAGCAAGTGAGCGAGGCCATGGCACGTACAATTGGCAAGGAAATGGTTGTCGCCAGCCTGCAGACATTCCGTACATCCGTTAAAGTCGAGGGTATCATCCACAGGCCAGATATCGCAATACTCATATTTGTCGACCTTGGAGGAGAGATTCTTGTACACAATGGCATCGTGGAAGGGTCCACAAGCTTTGCTATTGGCATATTAGCAAATGCTAAAGCAATTAGGATAGCAGGTCTCGTACGAGGTCATGCAGGGTGTGTTGATGACATCCTTATTATCGGGGATTCCAAACAGACAGTAAGAGACTGCATAGCGGAGGTTGTCTAAATGCGCCCGCCAGGTCAGTAATGTCGACAGGATTATCGATACAGCGCGACAACTCACAAAGATAGTACTGTTGGTCAGTCTCATTATCAGAGGTGCGATAGTCGCTTGTCTGCTCGCAAGCGAGGCACTGCTGAAACACAATGCCTGACCCGGTAGTGTAGTCGTCCTCATGGCAGACAATATCGTTGTTGGTCGTAGAGGAGAGCACGTTTCCGCACAGCGTCCCACAAGGCGAGTCGGAGGCGACGAGGAGCGAGGTGGCAGGGCTGAGCAGGCCGAGGCCTACTGCTAGTAGGCTGGAGCCACGCATCGTTATGAAAGAACGAGGTCAAGATGGTGGTCGCAGAAGGTTTGACAATCCGAAACAGGGCTCGGAGACTGAAGAATAAAGAGAACAGAGCCCTACGGCGAGGACGGGTCCGCTGTGTTACATGCCCAGCACAGGCGATAGGCAAGGCGATAGGTAGGCGGGCGAGGTTTTACTTTGTGTAGGACGAGGTTGGGGGCCGAACGACGATCGGCCGGGGCTCTTATATCAACCCGATAGACCCTTCTTTCCTGCGTGCTTCTGCTCCGCAATGTCTGTGCAGACGCCCGTGTGTGTGATGTGACATATGCCGACAGGTCTGCAGTGAAGCAGGCGCTTCTTGTGCCTGGACTGTGTGCCGCTCGGATGAGGCGATACTGGGGGAATCTGCTGTTGCAGCGCGGCTACAGGAACTCGGGGGGCAAGAGTTCTTTTACTCCGGACTGAAAGCTGAAAGGGGGGTATCGTGTGATTGTGAGTGATGCGAGTGATGAGTTCAAATGGCGCGGTGATGAGAAAGAAGCGGCCGTCGTCCATGACATGCCGTGATTGGGGGCGAGAGGGTTTTCCCAGCCTCCGCCTCTCTTGGCTCTCAAAACCCCAGTCTTCCAAGGTCAAGAATGAGTCCTCTCGAGTTCAGGATTGGCCGGGAGCCACGGACGCGGTGTGCTTCCTTCATCCAAGCCGGCACGGTCCAGAGCATGACCGAGGAGGGGAACCAGCCACTCACAGGAGCCATCACCGCTCACTGCAAGCCCCCCCTTGTCCTTTTCACACAAGCTCCGGCGGCTAGACGGTCAATGATCGATCGCCCAGCCCTGTCCCGCCGGGGCCGACCCCTGTCTAGCGCCGTCTACCGGCTTTTCCCCTCTGAAGGATTGAGCAAAGATCCACACTCAAGAGACCTCAACTCGAGCAACCTGCAGCCAACAAGTGCTCGCAGCAAGTATCTGCTGCGCAAAATGCTCGAATTTTCCCGTTGCTGGCCTCAATGAGACATTTTTGTCGTATGATGCCTGGTCCGTATTTCCGAAAGCCATACGATGCGCAATAGTTTGTCCGACTAGCAGCCGTGGTGGTAATTACTATCAAGACTTGTCAGTAATAGGCTGGTGGACACTATGCTTCATCTCAACACTTACACTAATCTGCCATGGTTTCATGTTGTAGATCATGTTGACGAAACCTTAATTGGACCCGAAATTTTGGGGGCCAAGGCAACATATGAAAACCTCGAATCCCCAAGGCAACGAAAGAAGTTGAGCTCCCTGTTCAACTGTTAGGCTTGCCCTTAAGAACGCATCATTGTCATCCATACCCTTACCTTACCTTCCCAATTAGGAAACCGACGATGTCTTCTTCTGCTTCTCCTCCTCCATCCTCACCACACCCTGAACAAACTGATTTGGGAGATCTTGGATCTCCTCCCGTTCCCCCGCCAAGACTCTCCCCGCTGTATTCAGGTAGACCTCGACGAAATGGCCCCACAGACTCCGAGCGACAAGGGACTCCTAAAGGGGCCTTGGGTAATACGGGTCGTTGATCCCGAATGCTTCCACCGCTTGGGCGACGCCATCGGCGTCCATGGTGATAGTCCTGACCTGGTTAAAGTCCAGGAGCCAAAGAACAGTCTTGCGGTGATGGAAGTCTTCCGGGTCATCACTTTGGGGGCCAATCCGAGTATCCGGTGGGAGGGCGGCTATCTCTGCGGCGCTCATGCTAGGCAGGGGTTCTGTGACGCTGCCGAGAGCGAACTCGACGTCTCTCGCATCGGTCTGTGCGGCCCAGTGCATAACCGCCAGGGCAGTCGCCATGCTCGAGGCCAGCTCGTAGACGCCGAGGTTCAGGTCGACCAGGTGATTGAGGTGCATCTTGAAGTTTCGCAGGGAAAAGAACATCCCGCCGCTTCTCCCCCTCTGTGATCCAAGGTAGACTCGCACCAGGCAGTCCCGGTTTGCTGGGTCGAGAAGCGCCTGCGACTTGACCCTCTGCGGGCAGAACTTCTCTATGAGGAGGCGCCTTGTGATGTCGGGAAGGGGCTGGATTCTCTCACTCCACAGACCATGGGTTGGGATGTGACAGACTGGCCCGGCGGCCTGGGTAAGCGCCTCGCTGCTCTCCCAGAACTCATATCTGTCCTTAGGAACAAACCCGTAGCATTTTGGGATCCTGACCGAAGTGACGTGATGTAGTTTGAACTGCTTCAGAAGGTGTTTGTGCTTAACGCAGTCGTTCCAGAGTTCGTCATTATCGCTGGCCTTGGCCAGCTTAATCACAATGGATTTTCCGGGGCGACCAAAGATGGCACCGCAGGCGCCAGCACCAATCTTTCGAAAGGGTTCTTGTTGCTGTTGGCCGACTTCCGGGACTGTGACAGTTCTTTTGCTTGACGCCAAGACGCTCTCATCCAACGAGAGCAGTCCATGCAACTGGGCGTCTAGGTCCTCCGCTGACAGCTGGAGGCAAGGTAATTCCGGGGTAATAGACATGGTCATGCCGTAGAATTTGAGGTTGAAATTATGATAAGGGGGATATTGTTATGATAGAATCATCTAAAGTTCTGTAGAAATAGTCTAAGTGCATGAGCAGAAAGAGGTCAAGGTTCTAAAGCCTTTATCATGTTGTTTATTAGAGTCTCTGCTAAGGTTTGTACATGCAGAAACCTTGGATCCATGAATCACAAAAACAAACTTTACTCCATACAGCATCAGATATCAATCCCAATAAGAAAACTCATTCCCAGTACCTACACAAGTTGTGTTAAAGTCTACACGCTAAGAGTTCTATCGACTTCAACATTACCTTGGACAAGTCATAGCACACGGCACAAAAAGGTTCATTGTAGTATAATTGATTTAAAGGTTATATCCATTATCTACATACCACCAAACCAAACTCCTGGCTCTGTCCCCCAACACTATCCAAACAAAAGAAATCCCAAAGGATCGGAGGGAGATCGGTTGCGATGAAAGATGGGCTAAGGTGAGTGCAGACTCCCGACATCTGACATGCAGTATGAAATGAACCAAATCCTCCACCCAGATCATCATGGGCTTGCAGAAGAACAAAGCACCATTGGTATCGTGGCTGCCAGCTTCTCGCGAGGGCAGCAAAAAATCCGTATCCCATCATGAATCTACCAAAATTTTCGTCCGTCTCATCCATGGATCGCTGGCTAATGAACAGCCAGTCAATGCCGCTATCTTATAAACACAAAATGAATTGTAAAGAATCGAAGCTCCACTGCGTGGAGGTAGTACATGTCATCAAAATCGTCACGCCACGGAGCTGGCGGGAACTTCAACTGGGGTGAGGGCGTCCAGTTCAGCGCATCGAGGTGTGGGTGTCTTCGCCGTACCCTCCAGATTACCACTGAACAAGGGCTCAACATCGGCATCATTCGTGTTGAGCACCATTGCCTTGGGTGTGGACGGGTTGAAGTAAGGTGTAGCAGGCGAGCGCCCGGGGGTGGAGATGGTCTGGAGCGTTTCAGTGACTGATCCGCAGTCACTGGCTTCTGCAGCCTCGTTCTGCGAAGCTTGTAAGTCTTTGGTGGTGGGTTTTTGGGACTCCACAAAGGGCATCTGATTGGCATCGCCAGATGATGCTCGACGAGGTTCAGGCTGTCCCGGTTCCAGGTACTGCGACGTACCAGTGCTGGAGGCCGGTCTCTGCGGTGGGGACGGCTCTGGAGGCGATCGCGACACGGGTATTGAGATCTCATTGACACGACCTCTGTTAGATGACGACCTCCGGCCATGAACAGGGCAGCTCGGCGAAATGATGGCCTCGACTCTTTCAAACCCTTCCGAGGGATCCTCATCCGACCGACGCCGCCTGTTGTTGTTATTGCTGGCAGACGAGCCCCTTCCGTTTCGAGATGGTCGGGTACGAGATTGACCTGAGCGGATACGACGATGGAGTCTGTCGTTCCGAGTCGAATCCGCCGATGATGCTCGCTCATGGGGTGGCACCTCGGCATCGTCCTCTGGCACACTGTGGTTAGGGCCAACCTTGGGCCCAGGGGTCCGACCCCGACTTGCAGCCCGCGAAGCTGGGCGAGCCATGTTGATTGCAGAGTTTGGGGTACCAGCTCTGTCATTGGTGGCGAGGGTATTGTTTGCAGGGAATGAATTGCTGCGCTGATGGTATGTCGCTCGGGCCAGGGACTGGTGAGTTCGCCCCTCATCGCTAAGGATACTTGGGCTTGCAGCGATGCGGATCGTATGCTGGTCCGATGGAGAGGTGGCAGGCTCACTGGGACGAGAACGGCTCTGGTTCCTGGAGTGAGGTGATTGAACCCGCCGCTCAGCAACTGGCGTGGTAGCGGAGCTTGAACGCAGCCTGTTGACCGATTCGGCTCGCTGAGAGATGGTTTCCAAGTGTTGTGAAATTGCGGCGCTGGTCTCTCGGTCCCCAAGGGAAGAGTCAGATCTTTCGTTCAGCCTTGACCGACTAGCATTTCGCGACTTGGGAGAGGACGGGCGTTCCAGTGACTTGTCTTCTACAGCTGCTGCTTGCACTGTCCCTTTGGAGTTGACAGATGATGCTGAATGCGTCGTTCGGTGGCTCTTGGTGGTCCGGTTTGAACGGTTAGAAGAGGCGTTGGACTGAGGGGACAGAGAATGGAGATGCCGGGGGTCCTTGGGGGTTGCATTCTCCTTGGCCCGGTCCTTGACACCGTTTCGACTTGCTGGGCGCTGGCCTCCGGTGATGGCCGGCCAGGGAAAGGGTTCTGGTCTTCTCCCAATTGGGGTACCAGGCGTCCAACCTCCACCAGAAATTGGTGTCCGCATGAAGTTATCATTTGAGCGCCAGAAATACGGATGATTGGAAACAGGAGAGATGTCTTCAAACGGAGTTGTTGGGCTGAATGGGCCTGCACTCTGGATAGTGACCTCACCGCCGTAGATCCGCTTCTCTGAGGAGAAGAAGTTTGCTGGATAACCGCTCAGAGGCGCACCGCTATCGGGATACGGGGTGCTCTCCTCTGGCGGCCGAGGATTTGTGCGAACGGTCTTGACTGAAGAGGCCTCAGATTCTTCGGACTTGAAAGAGCGGATCGACTTTTCTGACCTCAACGATGCAGCACTAAGTGGGTGGTCTGGTGGGTATTGATGAGGCATGATGGGAGGAGATTCGGGAATGATCAGACGGGGGCGAATCGCCATGGGTGTCGGGCTCGGTGCTGATGGAGTGGGAATGCTAAGTCTTCCCGTTCCAGGAGAACGCACTGCGCCGGCCTTGATGAGATCTGATTCCTTTGGGATGCTGATTGTGGGTGCTTGGCGTCTTTTGGACGGCTTCATGTCCTCGGCAAGGTCATCGGGCAGCTGAGGTAGTGGTGGTAGGCATTTGTTCGAAACCCTGGCCTTGAAGCTGTTTTGTGGGGAGTCAATGGACTTGTCGGTTGAGTTTTTCCTTGAGCCACTGGCTTCTGTGACCTCCTTGGGTGATGGGCTGTCTTTGGTCTCATTTTGGTCCTTGTTCTTCTTGTCTTGTTCAACCTCCTTGCCCTTTCTAGAGGAATCGTCTGCCTTATCATTTTGCTGAAGATGTCCAGGAGCCTCCATCCCAGAGCCTCCGGCCTCGGGTCGGTAAACGAGCTTGGCGTAGGGAGAATTGTTTGTGTCGACGACCAGGAGTTCCTTTTCGCCACGTCCAAGGAGGCCGTAGACCTTGACTTCGCCATCCTGGATGCCAATGACTGCGCTGGTGCCGGCGTACAAGGCCTCTTCTTCATTGCCGGAGCGATTGCAGAAAACGACAATAATCTCGTCCTGGTTCTCGGAGCGGATGAGTGGTTCGAGTCGCGTGACCCAATATGTCAGGGTTTCCATGTCGGGTTCGTTGGGCATGCGGGTAAATCGTCGCGGCTCTTCCCTGGTCATCCAAGCCATGGAGATGATGACGAGATTCGACTCAACCTCGAGAATGTGGAAGGCAAACTCAAACGCATGCCATGGTGCTTCGAATTTGTACGGGCTGTTGGTGGTTAGTATACAGTCTAATGATGAAACAACAAGATACGAACTTGATATCCATGCCTGTTGTAGATGGTTAGCAGAGAGATGAATGATGTACAAATTGGGCACTCACAGATGCCAATGCTGGTGTTCCCAAGTCCAGGAATGAAGCCATCGTAGAAACCGCGGTTTCCTTCTAGCGCCCATGTCTCGTCGGTGTAGTACAGAAAAGACTTTCTGTAGTTTGCGATTGTTTCACCATCTCCGTTGACGACGATGACCGAGTTGTAATACTCGGGTCCGGTGGGCCACTTGGGCGAGACGTCGACTTTCTCGGGGTAACCAACGGTGACGATGCAGTTGTACTTGAGAGCAATTGTCCTAGCCCAGAGAGATGTGATGCCGGAGCCGGAGGGTTCGAGGAACGGGGTAATATCTTGTAGCGACTTGAAGTTGTACCCTTTGGAAATGTTAGCATTGATGGAGCCTTGTGCGGTAAACCAGAAGAGGAGCAAGATGTTGGAGAAGCTTCGGTCGCACTTGTACAAGATCTTGCTCCTCTACAACAAAAATTACCAGAGAAAGCCAGCTCGGGTAGAACGAGGAGATCTAGGTCTTCCGGGTTCGCCCTCGACAAAACGGCATCGGCTCGATTTAGATTGTTGTCGACGTCTCCCACCTGGGGCGCGAACTGCAAGCAACCGATCCTCATGTCTGCGACGCCAGGTTGAACCCCGCAACAGCAACACGCCTTTCCAGCCTGACGATGTCGTGTGAGCAAGAACGCGAGGCCTCTGCGAGGTCAGCGTGCGTATACGGCGCAAAAAAAGGACAAACGATGCAGAAACAAATCAATAGGCAAAAACTCCGAGATGACGACGACGACGACGACAGGCCGGACGGAGAATAAGAGGAGATGATGGGAAAGCGACCTGACGCAGCACAAGCGGAGGAAGGCCGAATTTAGCGCAGGCTGGCGGGGGCCAAAGCGATATATGAGACAGGACAAGGCCCGTGGAGGCTGGAGAAGGCGCCCATGGATGTGTTGGTTGCTTGCTTGCTTGCCCGCTCTTCGCTCTAGATGTTGGCTGCGTTGGTTGCCAATTCCATGCGCTCCAAAGCCGGGTGTTAGTTGATGTGATGGTGGGCGACGGGGAGACGGTGGAGGCGGGCGCTGCTATGCCAAACGGTCGGAGGGGGGTGGGAGGTTGCGGCTTGAGAAACTTGGGTCCAACCACAGGCGAGGGTTAAGCGCTTGGGAACAAGGCGTCGACAAGGGTCCTCTCGGGGCCATCATCCTTCTTCCCCCATCCTGGGGGCCCCTGTCCCCAGAGCATCCCAGCTCCAGCGTCTTCTCCCACTGCAACTGGCCGCTGGGCGTGCTTGTGACAGCCCCCTAGAAGCCCACGAGAAAGATTCATGGCGTTTTCGAGCGCCTGCAGGCGCCCCAGCATCTTTTCACCACGAGGCTTCCAATGAGTGAGCCGCCATGATCGCCACGAGAATGAGGGCCTCTGCAAACGGCATGTCAGGGGTTGATCACTCTCCTTGCCTTAGGCTCAACGTCGTTGCGGTTGCGGGCGGGACGGGGTCCTGCCAGAGTCCGAGGCGCTTCAGCCCAGCGGGGTCCCACGTCGTCACTGCAAAGTGCGTACATTCTTGCCCTGTTCGCTCAATCAGATCCGCATGGATAACCTCTCTTATCAAGAGCCTCACTCTCTCCACAGGCTTCAAAGACACTTCAACGACACTCTTTTCAGAGGGGGATAAATCACGATCCCAACCTTTCATCTTCTGTGAACCCCTCTCGACCTGCAGAGGCGGTCAGCTAGTTGGTTATTGCGCATAACGGTGCGTGGTATCTTGTGGGTAAAGAAATCAGGCTCTGAGATGTACCTACCAACAGCACAGTGGCAGAACTTGAGCCCGCGTATTTTCCCGTACGTCCAATCTCAGGCCCTGATATCAGCCATGAGATCCTGCCCCACCATATGTCGCGATGGATATGAACGTGGGTGTTGGGCCTCAGGTTTGTGAAATAACCGGCAGGGCATGAGAGACATATGTCCCCTTATGACGATACCCTTTTCCTGACAACTGATTGATTGGCCCTGAGGCTCCTGTTGGTGGCTTTGTGAGGGCAATCGTCCTACCACGCGGACAGCAACCAACACATCTTCAAGACCGTTTCAACCTTGATCAACCTTGATCAGACCTGTCAAAAACGCGACAAGCCCTCGAGACGCAACCGTTGACCGTGCACGGCGCACAGTAGCCAGTCTCATGCCGGGGACTCGTCGGATTACCCTCGTCACATCACACGTCAAAAACGATGCCGGTAGGCTGGTAGGGCGCTCTGCGGCTGAACGCCATTGGTTTCCGACTATTCGGTTCAGGCGCGAAATTGTTGTCGTCAATTCGCCATATCAGGCCGCCAACTGACCCTGGCCCAGCTGCCCAATGGCATAGATATCCGACACTACCGGTCCCTCTTTTCTCCTGCGAGACGAAAAATTCGGCCATGGCAACCTGGGCATGTTGGCCATGGTCGTTGGGGGGGATTTTGCCCATCTCCATCTCCCCGCAGAAGCGATACCACGCAAGCTTTGATCCACGCCTTGCTAGAGAAGCAACCCATCCATCCCTGTGTCGAGCCACGACATGGAGGAATAAAACGTAGACTAATATCGACACGCACATTGCCGCAGCCATGTGATCAGCCCACCTTTCGCGGCTAGAGGAGCGAAAACAAGGGGGGCTGGGTTTTTGTTCGCCAGAGTGCGCTTGTGGTGATGGGAGACGCGCGCAAAAGCACGATGCAAGCCCATGATGGCTGCTGCCTCCAGCCGTCTGCAAGAGGCAGCTGGGTGGGACAGGACGGGAATTGCTCACCGGAACGACCGTATTGGGGGGCATGGTCTAATGACTCGGGTTTTCTGTGTTTGAGTCCAACTGCATTAATGCGTTCCGCTGCCTCGGGACCTCGTGTTGGTCGAGTCCGTTGCTCGGTCATGATTGTGAGTTATCGGATGTCCCGCAGGCCGAAATGAGGGGTTTTTGAAGAGTGTCTACCTGGGCTTATGGCCCTGGGAGGATTGCTACATGGTGAATGCCATCCTGGATGTTGTGTTACAGTAGATGCTGTGTAAGTTGTCGGTCAGAGAGCAGTTAAGTAGGATTAAGCTCTAGGGCTGAGCGACTACGAAGCGACAAGCGCCACTAAATACAACGCAGCGTAAGTCGGAATAATTGTACATCAGGGCGGAAATTGGCCGCGTGATTGAGGCCATAGGGTGAAATGTACCTTAATCTTACCCGCACAACAAGCCTGCAGTGGTGTGCGTATTCGGAGGAAGTGCCGGGTAGGCGTGGTGGTTCGTCCACCCACTTCAACGAGGTGCAGCACACGGGGCGTCCTTGGCATCTCGATGATCATGGATGATAAGAATTTTTCAAATTGGAAGGTGGGATTGCACCTTTTGCCTTCAAGAAGTTGTCAGACGACGCTCCAGGGTGTTTGTTATTGATGTTGGTTGTTCTGGAGTTGTTGTGTTGACTCCCCACAACACAAGTGGGCTGACATCTTCAACACAAGACGAATGAATAGGTAGATTCTGGGGATGACAATGGATCGAGAATACGTGGTCCAACACCGAGAGAATTAAAATGCTTTGTTTTTGCACATTATGCAGCTCTACACCAAAAAGATCTGCCCAAAAACACCACAAGAAGTTGCATCTGTCACCCACACTTTGCAAGGTGTGGACAAACACCAACCCCACGCATATGCCGTAACCCTCCACAGCCTTATGTTGGTAATACGCCAAGTGTACATGCCACGACAGCGCAACTTGCTTGATGTCCGGGCCTCACTGACAACCTTGCTGATCTGCATTTCCCTCAGCCCAGAAGTCACATGAGAAAAGGCAACTGCGGAACCCCGGAGGTACGGAGCACTTTACAAGATGGAGTGGGTTTCGGAACGACGATGATCGATGCCCACGTTGAACATGGCGAGAGCCTTACTGTTGCCAAGCCATGACCTGGACATGCATGTTGGCTCTGCAAAGAGCGGGGATGGAATCGAATCATGGGCTCGGGGCATCTAGCCGAGGTCAGAGGTCAGAAGACAGAAGACAGGGCTGCAACAGAGTTGGACTTTTCCAACCAGACACATCCACATGAAACACGGGGGTTTACGAAACAGAAGAGACAAGAAGACTAGAGATGCACAAGAGATGACGAGTTGTCTTGGGGCTGGTTTATCACATGATTGCAATTGACAAGGTTGATGGCCACATCCCCATCAAGTTATCAACCCTAAACGTAGGGGAACTGGACGAAGAGCACTCTGTAGACTCGTTAAGAAAACACGGAGGCAAAACTGATACTCACACCCAGCCTCCTTGTAACTAAAGACCTCGGCAAGTTCATTCTGGCCAAGTCAAGTGAGAGTGTCAAAGGTAGCCAGGCAGACAGAGAGACTGACTCCCCAACCTCCAATGACGGGCCCCACGCAAATCAAGGTCACGTACCTAGAACATCCCGCCCACTTGAATGAACAAGCATCCATTCCAGAGAGCAACCGCCCAAGAGAAACAAAGTTTGACGTTGACGCTCAATTCTTGAAGGCGAGTCGCTGAACCAAACTTCTGGGAACAACACCGCCTTAAATAAATCACAATCAGACGATACTTGCTGCAAAACCTGCTCGGCGGCCAGAACCACAACTTCTTTTTTTACTCTTACTTTTTCAACCCATGTCAAGCGAGCAAAACTCAATGTCTCACAGTCGCATGTCTGGACGGCTTCTCGACCAATCGCGGACTCTGCAGAGTCCCGCAAGCGCGTTGATGCAGCTTCAATCACAGTCACATTGCTTCTAAGCGACCGTCTTGCTTCTAAATTTGGGGGCGGCGAGAGGGGCCACGCGATGAGGAGAGGGGAAAAACTGTAGAAATGGCGGCACTTTCGCGGCAATCTGAGCGCTTGTGAACCGAGACTAAACTAGAACAATCAAGCGAGAGAACGGCTACGCTAGGATTCTTTGCCCGGAGAGATCCAATTCTAGCCGAACGAGTAAGTGCTGAGGGGGGACCAATCTGAGATCTGACCGAGAAGCATTGACTCGAGAGCAATCTTATTCCAGGGACCAATTGGGTGGCGTTGCAGAGGGGAACAATCAAGGGTCCCGAGGCAGCTGAATCTTGTAGTTCAAGTTTTTCCACCTTAATACTCCATCCGTTCAAGGCCAGCCCGGCTTGTTTCTACATGTTCTTTTCGCCCCCCGCATGTTTATTAAAGGTAGAATGGCATGATCTTTTAGAGTTGGCGACCAAGCATGACGCGCAAAAGGGCTGGCCGCTGAATGGGCCGGCGTCTGCGAGGCAAGCCTCTCGCGCCATGATTTGCCCGACGCGCTCCCCCGGCCCTTGCACGGCGAAGGCGTCTAGCCGCCCAGAAGGCTTCCCGCAGGGTCATGATTGGTCTACTCACTGGGCCTCATCGAGAGAGGCCCCCCGCGGTGGGCGGCCATTGGCTACGGTCCGACCTGGGGCGGTTCTATTCTGAGCTGGCACACTCCAACTCTCTTCCACGCGAGCGACTATCTGTCCTATGAAACAGGAAACCTTTTGCAAGTTCCACCAAGATCTACGCCAGAGTAGGAAATGCTAATGCTAGAAACCCATGCCTGCCTTGACTCTGTATCCCTGTGTGTGTCGTTTAATCCTGTCCTTGCGCCGTTTTGCCTTTGCCAGCGCGCCTCCGCTACTCCGTCCGTAGTAGCCTGCCCTCTTTGATAAAACAGCCATCCAACCCACGCCGGAGGCGATTCAATTTCTGAGCCCACTGTCTTGCCATTCTCCCGAACCGTCGTGAGAGAATCTCGCCAGTTTGTAATTCTTACAGAGATCTCTAGATCCCAGAGGTAACATACTTGGATCTTGGGGTAGATCGACAGACACTGGTGCCTGTCATGCTTGGGTCCCTACCTTGACCGACCCCATAACCTCACCCGCCGCCGGCCGCGACCCTCTCAGCACCGCCTCATCCTCATTCTTTTCTTCTCCTCCAACAAAAGATCGCCAAACATGTGGAACGCTCGCCTGGGGCTGAGCTCACTGGCTCTCTTCCTCTCGACGACTCAAGCCCTTCGTGTTAGTCCCGGCTCCGAGTGCGCCGCCCTCTGCTCCGATGGCACAAACACCACCATCGCCGAGATCAACACCTCGAGCACAAACTCTTCAGACATTGCCTGCGAGGACAAGGACTTTTCTTCATCAGGGACTGGTATCCGGTTCAAGAACTGCGTCAACTGCCTACAAAGGAGCGAGGCTACATGGAAGGAGGAGAGCGATGTCCATTGGTTCCTGTGTAAGTCTTACCACTACGTTTGATAAGTCATTTTGCTAACAGTTTAACCTAGACAATGTGCGGTATGCCTTTGACGTCTGCCTCTATGGTTATCCCGAGGCTGTTGAGTCAGGCACAATCAACTCGCCCTGCAACATTGACGGAGCATGTGGTGCTCTCAAGGACGCCCTCGAGGTGTCCCTTGTGAAGCCAACCGACGACAACCGATTTGAATTTTGCGATGCCGACTCGAAAGCCATCAAGGGAAGCAGCTACAAGGAATGCATCAGCTGCTTGAGATCTACTTCGAGCCAGAAGTACCTATCCAACTGTGAGTAACTTGACCCTCCTTTTAAGAAGCACCCACTGACAATATCTCTAGTCCTGGTTGCTCTGAGAGCGGGTTGTGAGCAGCGACCCGAACAGGGTGACGCCATTGGCCTTAGCGGAACTATCTTCACTGCTTCAGCTGTCAACATCACTGATCCAAACACCAATGAGACTCTCCCTGGTGATGGAGGTGCTCCCGTTGGCGCCATGACTACTGGCACCATCGTTGGCATCGCCGTTGGATGTGGTCTTGGTCTAGCTGGTTTCCTCTGCATCATCTGGGTCTACTGCCGCCGGAGTCGACGTGAAGCAGCAGCCATCAAGATCGAGACACCAACCCCTGACCACCAGATGCATCACCACCGCGGCGCATACGGAATCCAAAAAGCTTCCTACTTTAGCCACGGCGCACCTAAACCCCCTGGTGGCCATGACCGTAGCATGTCCAACGCACAGTACTACGATATGCTTGAGCAGCAGCCGTGGAACAAGCAGGCCAACGTCAACTACCACTACGCACCGCACTCCAAGAGCAACGGACCCAATGGTGCTCTCCCCACTCATCCCGCTTACATGCCTCGCGTTACAAGCAAGACTCCTGAGCCTCAAATGCCCCCCAACACCCACAGACCCACCAACTCGAGGTCCAATGCCCCCGACTCGTATGCTCTCCGTGCATACCTCAATGCCGCCGAAGAGTCTGTCGAACGTGAGCGCATCAGTGAAGCTGCCTCCAGTGGACATAACTCACGGGCTGAAAGCCGCAATCCTTCCCCTACTCAACTGGAAAAGGTCCCCGAGCCAGTGGTTATCCATGCACCCTCGCCAAAGAATGCGAAGCAGTCATCCTTCACCTTCCCCTCCCTCTCCAAGCTTATTATCCCCAAGAAGCACTCCCCTCCTCCCCCTGAGGTTAGGCTCCAAGAGCCCACACCTGGAACAGCCTCGAATGAGCGCAAGCGCGAGCTGAGAATCTCCAAGCCTCTGGCAGTACTGGATCCGAGGTTCACTGATCGTCCACTTGCTGGAGGACCGGTCATGGCAAACCAGCCACCCACCGGTTTCAGCGAGCAGAGGCAAGCAGTAGGCAACGATCCTATGCCTAGCAGCAATAGCCACATCTATGGCTGATATTAAATACAGTATGATGGAATAGATACCACGTGAATGATGGATATTTTTTTTTTACTGGACCACCTTGTTTTTCAGCATGGAGTTAATCGGTTGGGACATTTGCAATGTCTGGATCATGGGTTATGCATAAAGTAGATATCCAAGAGGGCGGAACAGTGCCTGGGAACTTGGAGTACATTCGTTTTGTAGGTACCTATAGACAAAGGTATAGATATATGGAATCCTAAGTCTAGTCGGTAAAAATTAGTTATTAAACCTCAATGATGACCATTGGCTGTCGAGACTAGTGATGTGAGTGACAAACACCTGTGATTGAGAATCATTCATAACTACCTATACATTCACATATGGCTATAAAGTCTGGCATTTCTCTGAGTGTCAGGACACAACCCTGGAACTTTCCCGTCTATAGCGAACCAGGCCATCTTTAGTGATTGAGTTATTGGTATGGAGAGAAAAGGAGAGCAACGCGGAAGCACTTCAGGGACTGACAACAACTGAGATCGCGGCTAGTTCTACCCAGTACTAGTTGGAATGGATTATGCCTATTTGTTCACCTCTTGCTAGCCCTTACCCTGGGAACACTTCAGCACAACCCTCTGAGGCTCAAGTCCAGGCTCCGGCCCGAAAAAAGAAAAGACACGTCCTGCCCAGCCTTCTGCGAAGTGGCTACCAACTCGCCCGCGGTTGAAGCGCAAGAGTCTATGAAAATATCGTAAGCCCGAAGTGGGAGAGTCGACAATGGATATTTTGATAAAGATTTTCAAAAAGTCGGAAGCTCGAGGCTCAGTGAGTTGGGTATCTTTCGAGGTAGCTATGGCCGACGTAGGTTTCTCCATCCATCCAAAGTATAGCTCCATCTACAATTTTAGCTGCCTATGCTGGCTACCTATTCGCAAGCCAGTTGCAATACATCATTTGGGGTGAAAATCAACGAATTTAGTCCACACCGTCATCACCAATAGGTAACGAAAGACAGTCACGGGTGTTACGAATACAGTCGTCTGGCGAATCTCATTGACAATATCTCATTGACAATATTTAATTAATCGTTACCACCATAACCATATCCTTGATCTTATCCGGAACGTCATCACCCACTCCCAACTTCTCTAGTTAGCTTACTGGAACGGCTACAAAGAGTGTTCGTCTAAGTTGACTGGCTATCGGTGTGAGAAATCTCAGTGGCCGTGATGGTCATTTCCCCCTGTGACTTGCTGGATCGGTTCCGGTGGCTCAGACCGATGTAGACATCGATGATCTGCTCACCGTCGAGACTGGAGAGTTGGGCGATGATTGTCTCTATAGATCAAAGTTGAGCGTTAGCCAAGATAATCTCAAGATAAATAAGCTTGCCACGATTGATGGGATACTTACCAGCCTCTGTTTCGCCCATATAGCTGCCCAACTGCTCTGTAGCGGCCTCGACGAAGGCGGCGGATGAAGCCTGGATACGCTCTGAGCGTTCGACCAAAGTTGTGTGATCAGAGCCCATAATGAAGTAGTCAAAGAAGTTATCGAGCACCGAAAGATTCTCGATAATCTCACTAAAAGCATTGGCATTCTGATCTCCCTCAGTCAGAGCCTCGGCTCCGTCACCGACAGGGGTGGGTTGACTAGTCGAGGAGAGATAGCTCTCAACAGAAGAGCTGCTGCTGCTGCTGATGGAAGATGGACGACTGATTTCCTCGTTTCGTCTGAGGATTTCGAGAACCGTTCGGATACCACCTTCGAGGTTTCTAGATATGCCAGTGATTAGGTCCTGCCAGCGGAAAATCGCGATCTGTGTAAATACACACCTGATTTGCTCGGCCTGCTCGATCACTCTCTCCTCCATTCTCAGGATGAAAACTGCCAGCTAGTGATTCTATCAGCGGGACATTCAAGATCCAGGCGATGGTAATCGCATCCACACCACGCCCAAGTTATTATGAGTGACGAGAGTAGGAGCGTCGAGATGACAAGGATTGGCAATAGAAAGCCATTGAAAGGTCTGCGGCATGTCGGAATCTAGCCCAGGGATGCCAGTTCCAGTAGTCGGCTGGTCGCCTGCTTGAGCTGTCGACTCCGTTGGCTCGTTCATCGCTGCTATCAACAGTTGTGCTAGATGATGGTTGTGGTTTTATGGAATCGGACGACGAAGGAAAAATGTAGACTGTGGGGAGAAAGAAGTGAGAGAGAATTCAATCAAGGGAAATCTCAGAAAGCTTTAGAGGCAACTCGAGAAAACATTGCTTGGCGCTGCTTCGCTTCTATCACCAGTGCTTGACAGCTGGTGGCTAGTGTGAAGCGTGTCACACCACTGGTGGTAAAGGTTGATAAAATCTTCCGTGAATCTAGGTCTTTTCGACCCATGTCTTGAGCCGGTCTGCCCGGGGAAAATATGGTGTCGTTGTATTCAAGGATGCCTACGAAAGGTGCGAACCCAACTTGAATTGTGGACAGCAGATCTTGCTGAGATCTTCGACGTTTCGCCCACCGGCACTCAAATTGGGGAGTGAGGTTCCTAGTATACATCTGTTCGACAGCCCACTCTTGCTTCTTTCTTTTTCAAAAGGAGGCGGGTTTCTCAGCTCGCCCTGATGTCGATGGGCTGAGGTCTTCTCCAGGCTGGTTCCACGCTGTTACGTCGACAGTTTACAGGTCGATGATTCCCGGCGATGGCGTCATCCCCTCTGGCAAGGCTACTACCCATCTAAGCATTGCCTGTCCTTCTTATCTAGGGTATATAGTCCATCAGGAAAGACTCAATCCTGCAAGGAAGAGCTTGGTGTCAAACTCGACCCTATGGTACGGAAAACCACAATGTTGCACTGTGGCATGGGTTTGCGGTATGTATCCTATATATGGCTAGCAGCCTTGCAGAGGACGAGTAAGACGTTCCGCATTCTGATATATAGTGGCCCCTTCGATGGCATCTATAACATGCCCGATCAGGGCACACTGGCTTCGTGTAGTCTTTATGATTATATACGCCGCAGAGCCGAAAAAGATCATTGATACAGTCTGCGGCTCTGAGGCTGATGTCATTGCAGTCTTGGAAGACGATTGTGCTGTTGCCCGTTGGCTGCTACTTATCGCCTGCTGTCTTTCTGTCGTCCGTATCATCTGAATCCGTGAAATCGTTGAGCAAAGCAGAGGTGTCCGGGTCTATGGCGTTCCTTGTCTATAGAAGTCTCATATCGAGAAGCGTTGATCGCCGGGCGCTGTACTTGGGCAGATCCCTTCTAGGGAGTCGGGTCGGGTGTGGCTAGGGCTCCTTGGATACCGCGAGAATGTAGGACCCAACGTTGGTCCCAGGCTTTAGCAGTAACACCGATAAAGCCAGGTGACCCAATCGTCGTCCAAAGACTCATCGGGGAGGCGGTAGCGGTAAAAATTCCGAGTACCTAAGTTCTTGAACATGACAGTCGGCGCAGCGTTGTCTGATGGTCCTGACATTCTACTTCGACGTCTTGGATATTTGTCATCCAGATGGGAATCTGGGCCACGGCGTTGCCCTGCCGGTGGTAGCCTGGCACGTATATATATTGAAGCGGCATGACGAAAAGTCAGGGGGTGACAGGAGGGGGCGCTGTGCATCCGGGAGACGTTTCTGCGTCTTGGGGGTGATGGAGCTTGGGTCCAGGCAGAACATGGATGTGCGTGAACTGTGGGACGCTCTCGCAGAGAGAGAGTTGAAGCAGCGGAGATGCCCAAGCACAAATTGCCCCGGGTCGAGAGTCTCGGTGCTCTCAGCAATGTCCAAGCTCTGTGGCGGCTCTATGTCTTTGTAACAAATGGTGCAGGAGAGCGGAGCGTTCGAAGTACCCATATGAGAGGTCGAACATAGCAACTCATCACGAAGATGGGGCCAGTCCGAATGGGGTGCCACCTTGCGAGCAAAGGGTGTATGTGTTGTGGCATTCTTATTATATAGTATAGATCCTTGGATCTAGTTGAAGCGTTGAGAGAAGCGTGGTTTTTCAAGATCTAGTGTGAGGGACGAAGGGTATTTATACCTTGAGATCCCCAGGCTTGAGACACTCGCTCAGGTTTGCTTTGTAGCAAACAGCGCAACAAGTGTAACGGCAAATGCGTAGGTATGTGGGTAGAAACATGAGAGTTTTTACAATTTGTAGAACAAGGGTTGGCGTCTAATCGACAAGCCAGTTGGAAGACTTGCTTCAGGATGCGCTGCATCCCCAGTCTGCAAGGTTGGTCCCGTCCATCCTGTTGAGGTGTATACTAGGCAATGGGGGGACTTGAGGTTCCAAGGACGATTGCGTGCGTCTGAGAAGCTACTTTGTTGTCTTTTAACGGCGGAAGTGGTCAACGTATTTTAATGTCTAACCTAAGCATAGGATGGATGGATAATGGTTTCTGGTACCAGTTTTGGGAACTATGCACGCGGGTCAAGAAACCAAAAAAAAAGGCACCAGAAGATCAAAAAGGGTTGTCCAAGTATCATCTCAAGGGCAACACGTATATTGAGAATAATACTTGGGAGTTCTATCACTGGCTCTTTGTTAAGCTTTCTTTTACCATCTCTTGAGGAGGATTGCTGAGTGCTCTTTTCCCCACGCTGCACCGCGCTCGGCATAGGAAGCAATTCCGGGATCTGACATTACACAACACCACAAAGCGGAATTGGTCTTGGTGGTAGAATTCTCCGTTGCCATTCGGGCAGCTTTGCCTCGGTTATGCATTGTCAACTCGATATCAAACCCTCGCTTTTGGCTTGTGTTGACTTGTCACTCAGCTGTGTGGGGTATGTAGGCCACCTGCCGTGTTGGTCCTCGAACGACATCCAACTTGTATCAAGAATGGAGCGTAACCTTGCAATTGGGCTCATTCGACTCGTCAATGAGGCCTGCTTTGTAGTTTAATCCGGCAAATCGTTTCCGTTTTGAAGCTGGACTGCGCCCGCTGTGTTGATCAAGCTGGACACCCTCATCATGGGTGTACGGACAGCCACGACGCATGTGTATGTGCCTGCCCAGAGAGGACCATTTACTCCTGTTGTGTCACCCATCTGCTTCTTCTGTAACCCATCATTGTCTCACCGGTCTAGGTCAGTCATCAATTACTCCTCGCATATCCGGAAGGTTGGCTTTTCCTTGGTTGACCTCCATGTAAAACTGCAGGGTAAAAGTGAACTGCTCCAACACTGTGTCAACATCATCACAAGATGAGAAAAGTCTCCGTCCGAGGTTCCCCCAAGGTACCAAGAGATTTGTCAACGGAAAGCCGGCTGTTGGTCGACCGAGTAGGTAATGAGAAACCCTCCAACTCGATAAGGGTTGCAAACTCCAGCTTTTCCGGCAGACAGGGGACGGCAAGCCTTCAACTGTTGGAAATAGAAAAGCATAATTCTTCAGCCATCAACACCACCAACAACAATGAACCTCGCTTGATGAGCTGTACAGGGCAAGCCTCCAGGTGTCGTGCTAAGATAATCGTCTGCTTCTTCATTGCTCAACTCTGCTTGGGCAGGGGGGTCCAGGGGTACGCCACAGAGATAACGACCAGACCACCTTTTTCTATTTTCCCTCAGCATTTCGTAAATCACCCCCAGATAAGGGATCATCATGTCCTCCCCCAGAAATCCCCCCCACGCGGCGTTCGCTTCGGCAAGCGGCCCCACGCAGCTGCCAGCGGGAGGGAGGCTGGAACGATATGGAGGGCATGCGGGGAGGTGATCAATTGAGTTGACATGACGCCTATATAATCATGTTACACTTCTCCTGTCAAAAAAGACAAAATTCCAGACTTCCTCGGTGTGTTCTGTCCGGTGAGGAGGGCCGATAAGGTGAGATAAGTCCATGCCATCAAGGCATTGGATGGAGTTGAAGTGTGTTGCTCCGAATTGGTTAGCTGGAAGCCAGAGGAGCAAAGTATATAAGCCATGTGTGCCAACCACTTCCTCCGTGTTTGTTATTTGCGTTATCCTTCTCTCTTCTTTCATCACAAGCCCTGTCCTGTCCTGCCCTGCATCAAACCTGCTCTGCATGTCCAATCCTTGACGGCACATGAGCGTGGTGATACAGTCGTGAGTACTTTGAACCCTCATAACACATGGAGATAAAACATCAGGCACGGAGGCAACTGGGAAACACGGAGAGAGGGGCAGACGCTGATTCGTTATTTTTCCAAAAGTCAACCCTTGACTCAAGACACCAGCCAAGTCATGATAAAAAGTCGTATAGGTTCCCAGATCAAGATCAACCACCTGAATGACGCCTCTCCAGAAAACAAAACACACGGTTTGCTCTGGACCCCTTGATCAAATGACACAACTCCCGCCGAAATGCAATGCCGCCAGTCCCGCTCCACCTCCTGTCCCTGAAACGGGTTCTAGTCGAGGCTGGAGATCACCGTTTTTCCCTTTTGTCTTTCGCGCTTTTCTGTTTCTTTTTTTCGCCCAAGGTTGAGACCTTGATTCATGGTCAGCATGTTCGCTATGCCAACCACTCCTCCTCGTCCCGCTTACGCCCTCGGCCACCTCGCATAACGAGGCCATCGTCATTATCGTCGTCACTGTCGTCGTCGCCGTTGTGGATTCTTAATTGTTCAACCGAGGTTGCTGCGACTTGCACATCCTCGTCGTCGCTTCCGTCGTCATCTAGCATCCATGTCAAGCCATTGGCCTCCTCTTCCAGTGGGAACATCTCCCGCGCATATTCCTCCATTCCTCGAGGGCCTTCCCAGAGCTCCAAAGCTTCGCTTGGGCAGCTGATCTCCACCTTGGGGTCTCCAAAGTAGGGGGGTTGCTTGCGGGCATCCTTGCGATTTGGATCAAAGAGCTGCTCCAATCCGACAAGCTGTTCCCGGTAGCCTTCGGGGATTCGGACCTTG